AAAAGATGACTTACAAGAACCTTGGTTTAATATTTTACCCTAAAGGTGGGTTTGAAAACTCAAAAAAATGATTTATATCATTTTTCGGGTTTTCAGTGTTTGAGAATGAGAAAAATTTTAAGTCAATGGAAAACAATGCTGTGGTAAATATAAAATAGCTAAGATTTTCAAGAAAATGACTTCGCATTTTTTTTTTTTAGGGGGAAGTCATTTTCTAAGCCTATCTCTACTATGACCACGCCTCTCTACCCTCTCGATCTCTACCAACACACCACGCATCTTCTGCTCTGACCTTCTTCTTGCTACACCATTTGCTTCTTCATTGTCTTGCCATCTTCTTATCACCAAGGTATGTTTCCTCCCTTTTTCTTTTTTTTTTTATTATAATTTTTTTTTATAATTTTTTTTTTTTATAATTTTTTTAAATTTTTTTTCAGTGGCAGATCTTTCTAGATCTCGCCATCTGAAATGGTTTCCGGATGTGGGGACAAAAACCCACAGCCAGAAACCAGAGACACTAGATTTTGTTGTGATCTCTGGTTCCCAGTTATTTTGTTGTGATTTTGTTTTGATTTTGTTGTGATTTAATTATACAATTATGCTCATTATCCAAAAAATGAATCAAACACATCAAAATAATTTTTTTAAATGCAACCAAACACGGAAAATAAAAATATTTTTTTAAAAATGACTCATTTTCAAAAGTTATTTTTTTTTGGTTTTCAAACACATTTTAACATTAAATATTGTAAAGGATGAGATTAGGAATTCATATGGTATGGAGTAACGTTACGTTGAATTATATATTCAATGGGTAATTAATGTCATTAATTTCAAGTTTTCAACAATCCTCACCAAACCAACAAATACACAAGTTTGAAATTATTTACTATGTGGATGTAGTTATTAGGCTCTTTCTCCACCGCTTGCTTCAAAACCCAAGCAACTTATCTAATTTGTGCGCCCACACGCCCATTGTTAATTGTTTCTTAAGTAAGTTGATGAACATTGACTCTTAGGGTGTGTTTGGAAATCTCAAAAATGAGTTCTGGAAATCATTTTTCAAGTTTCCATTGTTTGGATGTGCCTGGAAAATCAAGTCAACGGAAATCATTTTCCGTACTTTGGAAAATAGGCTTGTTTTGGAGGAAAATGACTTCCCCTTCTTTTGGGGGAAGTCATTTTCCAACTTTTACACCAACATCACACCACCACCAACATCATCAACACCATACCACCACCACCTCACTACCACCATCACTACCACTACTGTCGCTGCCACCACTACTATACCACCGCAACCACCGCCACCACACCACCACCATCACATTACCACCACCAACACCATCAACACCATACCACCACCGCCGCTGCCACCACCACCACCGCCACCACCCCACCGCCACCACACCACCACCATCACACCACCACCACTACCACCACCATTGTCGCGCCGCCACCGCCGCCGCCGCCACCACTACCATCACACCACCGCCGTCACCACCACCACGACCATACTACCGCAACCACCACCGCCGCCGCCACCATACCACCACCACCACCATACCACCGCCGCCGCCACCACCACGACCATACCACCGCAACCACCGCCGCCACCACTACCACCATACCACCGCAACCACCGTCGCCACCACCACCACCACCACCACCACCATACCACCACAACCACCACCACTGCCACCACCGTCATACCACCACCAGTTATTATTATTATTATTATTATTATTATTATTATTATTATTATTATTATTATTATTATTATTATTATTATATAACAAACAACACCACTACCACTACACCACCACCACTACACCACCACCACCACCATAATATTTTTGATATATTATTAGTTATTTTTTTATTATATTTAAAATTATTATTATATTATTATATATTATTATACACGTTGTAATATTTTAAATAAAATAATTAAAATGTTTAATTATACAATTCTACACATTTTTCAGAAAATGAACCAAACACACAAAAACAGTTTTCCAGAATACAATCAAACACTGGAAAGGAAAATGTTTTCCGGAAAATGACTCATTTTCCAGAAAACATTTTCCAGAAGTCATTTTCCTGCTTTCCAAACGGACCCTTAAGTTTGAATCTTGAACTTGAGGGTTTATCATCGCTAAAAAATGTAAATTGTGAGATTTAGAATATCTCAACCGGTTTATTGGCTTATTAGGTTCGTACATATGCATGTATATCCCTGTGTCTTTGACTCGTTTTTGTATATGTATGTTTCAGATGTGTCTCGATCTGTATATAAACTAGTACCTTTGTATTCTTGAGACTCACATTGACTCTCTTTTGTGTGCGTGTATGTTTCATGGATCATATGGACTTGTTACACAAGATTTCATATTTTTTAGATCATTGGTTCACCGATGCTATGATTTGAAGGAAGAATATCATATATCTAATAACGAAAGCGTAACTTTAGTTTCTTATATTTATCGGTCATCTCTATATTTTGATAGAAGGATGCTTGTTTTTGCCCTCTAAACTCTACCCAATACTATACTATTATATACCTATGTTTTGTATTCATGATTTTTTTATTCCACATTAATGCATTTTCTTTATTTTTAAAAAAATGTATGACTAATTTAGAGTAAAAGATTGTGACATAATTGATAGTTATCGCAAGTTACATCATTTGGTTACAAAGTATACATTAGATAACATTTTCTTCTTTTAATAAGTATGGGTCGATATATGTTTATATATAATTATATATGTTATCTTTTCATCTAAGTAATAAGAACAATGAATAAATAATGTGGATGTCTCACACTCTTACTATTATTCTAATTTTGGGTCAAATGATCCCCTCATTTTTTTTCTCATACATTACTTTCAATCCTGCAATATATTACAAATTGTTCAATATACCAAACTCGTAAAATCATAAAAAAAAAAATACATTAATTAATTTTTTCTAACATTAATACTCGATTCACTTTTAGAAAAAATTAATGTAAAATGCTAAAATGCTAAAATTTAAAAATACATTATACATTAAAAATACATTATTATTCTAAAATGCTAAAATTTAAAAAACTGCTCAAAAGCGTTTTTTTTCTATCAACTTTTTGAGAAAATCACTTTTACACGTAATCAGTTATCAGCTAATTTTACTAAACATCCTTCTACAATCAGCTAATACTATTAACTAGTCAAAATCACTAACTCAACCGGCTAATAACTATTTATCAAATACCCCTATGTAGTCGGGCACCGATCGAAGTCCACAAATTTACCCCATGGTGGAGATCCAAACATAGCTGAGAACAGATTTAATTGCAATCCAAAATCCACAATATACATTAGTTTAAATACGCTGATTGCGGTATTACTTTCCTAGTAACTTTGCTTTCTTATGGACGAAGAAAGACAACTTCAACCTTGCTTTCTTAAGATCATATAATGTAATGTTTTGAGAAAATTCAAAGGCAACGTTAAAAGTGAATCGAGCGAGAATATTAGAATAATAAATTTGAAGAAAAGTATATTATAAATAGTATTTCATTAAGTATAATGAAGTAAAGTTACATAGTATCTTTTTATTAGGTATAATTTTCAAATAGTGTTAGGTGCTGAATTTGACAATTAGCATAAATATAATAAAATAAAATTACGCCAATTATGACTCGGTGCAGTCTTGAAACATTTTGAGAAAATAATTTTAAAAACTACTTATTTCTTACATACTTGAGATTTTTAATAAAAACACTTGTGTGTTTGTTTGTTTTTTTTTTTTTTAAAAAAAAATTATGAAAAAGATTGCAGTCATTACGGGACGACGCATTTTGGGTGAAACTCGCTCTAAGATGTACCCTAGCTAGTCAATTAAGGACTGCAATGAGGTAAACTAACCTAGATTACTCATAGCATCGGGTCAAACTAATAAGAAGGTGAAGTGTCAAACTTAGTACTTTATGTTACTAAGCTAATTATCTAATCAACTTGGCTGAGATTGTCCCGCATAGGTTTAGCTCAATGGTTCGGAATGTAATATTTGAGAGAAAAGATCAATGTTCAAACATCGACAGTAACATGTTAGGATTATGTCTAAAGTGTGCAAATCTCTTGTGCTAGCCATTAGATTGTTCTAGCATGTTGAGATTATGTCCAAAATGTGCAAATCTCTTATGCTAGCCATTATGTCACTTTGAATTATATATATTCTCCCATACGTTCTATTGGACCTTGTTAAAAGAATAACTTGGTTGAAATTGTTACATCCACGTTTGTTCCCATTGATTGAGGAAGGAGACTTTTTCGCAATTCTACTCCTAATAATTAGCAAACCCAAGTTGTACTCTACTAGAAAGTATAAACCGCAATGACTCTGTCGAAGCTGACATAGTTTAATATCATATCCTCGGTATATTTTTCTTAACCCGTAGAGTGCTGACAATGGCTTTTTAACAGAGCTTATTTAAGAGGTTATAATTTATTTTAAGCTATTAATAAGCTATAAGTTCTGTTTGATAATATTCTCAAAATAAACTTTTAATTTAAAATAAGAGCTTATTTTGGAACATTATCTTACTATTTTAAAGAAATGACATAATTTATTCTTCTCAATCAAAACCATTTTCTCCTCTCTTTTATTGCAACTTTTATTATTATTATTATTATTATTATTATTATTATTATTATTATTATTATTATGATGATGATATTTGCAACAATATTGCTATTGAGATGCTAGATCATAATTTAAATTTAAATTTTACGAAGAGTCCTTTTTAGTCTTTTTTACATTTATCAGCTTATCTTAATTTTACCAAACACTTTTAATCATAACAGCTAGCTTAACAGTACAGCTCTTTGATTTTCCGCTCGGAGCTTATAGCTTTTCAGCTAGGTTTGCCAAACAGAGCCAATGTTGTCTTTTTTTTTTTTTTAAGTGTCAATTATGTTTAATTATGTTCTAAGAAAAGTATACTCCTTTCTTCGCTATATAACGCCTGCACATATTTGCCCATCATATCACCATCCATTTCAGCATTATTACGCAATAAGAAATCAGCAAATTAAACCCAAAAAAAATGGCTTCTTTTTCTGCCCTTTTAGCCATGGCAGTCGCCATTTTCATCTTCTTCTCTCAATCAAATGCTCAGCTAAGTTCCACTTTTTACTCCACCACATGCCCTAACGTTTCTTCAATCGTTAGCACTGTGATTCAACAGGCCTTGCAGAACGATGCCCGCATTGGTGCCAGCCTCATTCGCCTCCATTTTCATGACTGCTTCGTTAATGTAAAGTCATAAAATAAATAAATAAATATATATGTAGCATTATATTGTTCTTGAATGTAATGGGAAATTATTAATGATGTTTTTTGATTGATCTCTCTGCAGGGGTGTGATGGTTCACTTTTGTTAGACAACAATGGAACAACCATTGTGAGTGAGAAAGATGCTGCCCAAAACAATAACTCCGCTAGGGGTTTCGATGTTGTTGACAACATTAAGACCGCGGTTGAGAATGCCTGTCCTGGTGTTGTCTCTTGTGCTGATATTTTAGCTCTCGCTTCCGAATCTGCAGTTTCTTTGGTATGTTTACACATTTTTTTTTTCTCTCCCTTAATTTCTAGCCTTTTACATTTTCTTGAATTTATACTCGAGGAAAACTATATTAATTGTATGTTTATATATGCAGGCTGGTGGTCCTTCATGGAATGTTTTGTTAGGGAGAAGAGACGGCACGACAGCAAACCAGGGAGGAGCTAACACTAGTCTTCCTAATCCCTTTGATGACTTAAGCAACTTAACAAGAAAGTTTACAAACGTTGGATTGAATGTTAATGATCTTGTAGCTTTATCTGGTACGTCTATATACATGCATGCATACACATAAATATATAGACAACACAAATACCACATATTAACCTTATAATTCCTTTTAAAACTATATTAGTATTCCCATCCTTAAGATAAAGACTAATTTGGGGCAACCTAACGAAGTTGGTCAGACGGTTAGCTTGATAATTATAAGATTTTAAGTTTGACTCAGTGTGAGTCTGTGGGAGCGGTCTATTAGGATTACAAGGCATCCTAAGCTAGTTTACCACCTTGTAATCCTTTATCAGCTAGGGTTACAAGGCATGATTTAAGCTAGTTAGTTATGGCCTATGGGCAACATAGGTGATTAGGCCTCTTTGCCGGTTAGGGTTACACGACAGGTAATGCACACCCTCGGTTAGTGATTACGAGTTTTTGAATTTTGACACACATTAACCTAATTTTATTTCAGGTGCTCATACGTTTGGACGCGCACAATGTCGTACATTTAACAACCGATTATTCAACTTCAGCAACACGGGCAATCCTGATCCCACCTTAAACACAACCTACTTAGCCACTTTACAACAAGTTTGTCCACAGGGCGGGTCTGGATCTACCGTGACCAACCTTGACCCGACAACATCAGACACCTTCGACAACAATTATTTCTCAAATTTGCAGAACAACCGTGGGCTTCTGAAATCAGATCAGGAGTTGTTCTCAACATCTGGGGCTGCAACCATTGCCATTGTCAACAACTTCAGTGCAAACCAAACTGCCTTCTTTCAGAGCTTTGTCCAATCCATGATCAATATGGGAAATATTAGCCCCTTAACAGGGTCCAGTGGAGAGATTAGGTTAAACTGTAGGAGACTTAATTGAGCAAAATTGCCACTCCTACTATTTACCTGTCTGTGTTTTGACTTTAATTTCACATATTATTTGTCCCGGCCTTTTGGTGTGTTTTAAGGCTACCTTTGTTGCTCTGTGAGTGAAACACTAGGAACTGAATATGAATTGTATAATCATTTTTCTTTCTCATTTACTATAACGTACAAATGTACAATCAGCTATGGTGTATTTTTAATTTTCATTAAATAAACGAGTCTGTTAAAATAATATTCTTTCCAAAAGGTTGGGGTGCCCCAACCCGGTCCGACAGAACATTTGGGAGGATGTAAATTATGGTAACTCAACTGAACATGAACTACAAAGAATTGAAAATTATTGAGGAATACCCGTCACCATATTCTTTTGGTGCAGAGTCTTCAAACCTCCAAAGTTCAAATGCCCATAGTGGAAGTGCCACAGCCATGCAACCTCACTTAATTGTACAGAAAAACATTCATGGGTTGTAAGGTGAAGGAGTGGAAACATGCGATTTGCCGTCATTTTGACTTGAGCAATCAATCCAAGGTTTGTATCTTGAATCCGACATTCTTCATTTTTTATAGTGATCCCATACCCCTTTTCTTGTAGTTGACCCACACTGAGCAAATTGGTTTTCAAGTCTGGAACAAAGAGAACATTTGAAATGGTGAATGTAGAGTTCTCATTGGTTTGGATTGCAACCTTTCCTTTTTCCCATCACATGTACTATAGAATTATTGCCGAGCTTAACAGTGTCTCGATAAGATATTTCCTTTTTCCCATCACATGTACTATAGAATTATTGCAGAGCTTAACTGTGTCTCGATAAGATATGTTTAATTCAGAGAACATCTTCTCATCTCCACGCATATGATTGCTACAACTAGAGTCTACATGGCATGCCATCAGAAGAGAAATCTCTTCAGAAACTTCTTCTTTCTTTTCGACAAAATTTATTGCTTCTCCATTATGTCTATTCAAACTCGTATGCCATTCATTTTGATAATGGCCATACTTGTGACAGCGATAACATTTAATGTTGGACTTTTCTGTTGACTTGCCTCTCCCGCTCCTTTGTCCACGGGCATGGCCCCCTCTTCCTCTCCCACGACCTCTTCCTCGATTAGCACCATTAAATGATGAAGGTTGGTTTTGAGTTGAAACTTTCAATGCTTGCTCACCCTCACTATCCTGCGAACACAACTTTTTTCATGAACTAGAATGGAACTTTCAAGTTCATCTAGTGTCATCTCATCCATGTCAAGGATTTAACTTGGCGGCTCTGATACCAGCGAACACAACTTTCTTTAATGAACTAGAATGGAACTTTCAAGTTCATCTAGTGTCATCTCATCCATGTCAAGGATTTAACTTGGCGGCTCTGATACCACTATTAGAAGCAAGTAACTTTCAAACTTTCATCTCATCCTTGAGGCTCTGATACCACTATTAGAAGCAAGTAAGCTTTCAAAGCTCTGATACCACTATTAGAAGCAAGTAAGCTTTCAAACTTTCAAGTTCATCTAGTGTCATCTCATCCTTGAGGCTCTACCTCTGATACCACTATTAGAAGCAAGTAAGTTTTCAAACTTTCAAGTTCATCTAGTGTCATCTCATCCTTGAGGCTCTAATACCACTATTAGAAGCAAGTAAGCCTTTCTTTCATGAACTAGAACCAGCGGCAGTGAGAGAGAGAGAGAGAGAGAGAGAGAGAGAGAGAGAGAAGATTCAGGGCTTCGAATTTATAAGAGATAATTTGTAGCGGGAGTAATTCTAAAATAAAGCTGACGTTTGTGAAAGAAATGAAATAAAACTAAAAAAATTATATTTATAATTCTTTGCTCCCACACTGCAGTTGGTGAGACTCAATCCCTGGTCATTCTTTTCAAACTTCACCTCTATGACCAGTTGAGCTGTCCATGCATCCCTTTTAAAATAATATTAATTATATATATGCAAAGTGTGGTGCATCTAATCTGGAATTGATCTAACCTATACTCCTATAGTAGCTTGCAATTGTTATTGTTCAGACAGATACGGGGATGTTGAAAACCTGGCCGTACTATTCGAATTACTGAACCAATCGAGCTACCCTTAACGCTATCAATAATAGTTAATTTATATTATTTAACTATGCATGACGTACCACTCTTGCTAATAGATTGGGATTAATCTATTGGATTTGTTAATTAATTTTCCTTTGGACATCTCTTTATTACGGAGTATTTTTGTTAATGAGTTTCAGTTCACTTGGGCCTGCCCTGTGCAAACAAAGTTGTAATTTACACACGCAAAATCTGCTAGAGCATGCTTACTATGAACTCTTGTATTTTAGAGACCAATTGTCCAAAACCAATTCAATGATGTAAAAGACCAATCCAAATGTAGAGGATGCTAGGTTAACAAATTCCTATGTGAATTGGTTCGCTACTCATGTTCATAACTTATGATTTAGATTGGATGTGCTTTGTTCATTGTTTTAGTTTGTGTAGTTTTTAATTTATGAGAAAGTTTGCACCCGATACTTGAAGGTATGCTATGCTATAAATGAAGTTTGCCTTTTGATCCTAACTGTCAAATGATCACAATAAGGCAATAAGGTAAACTAATCTAAATTATTCATAATTGACTGACTCAAACTAAGAAGGCTGGCCAATAAACAACTCCTTCAATGATATGGGAATTTGACCTAATGTGTATGTAGTAATAACGCCTAATGGAGTGCTACACTCCTATCTTTGAATGATCAGGCTTGATTAAAAACTTAATTGGATTAGTTTCATCTCATCCTAACGAGAGTTGCCTCTGAATATGGCTCGACCAAGACTCAATTGAATTAGTCTCATCTTATTTTGGGGAGAATATTTGTTGGAGGATAAAAATGTAATATCCTCCCCTTCCATTTTATTTCTTTTATCTTTTATTTTTCCCTTATATAAACCAGTAGCTCATCATCAATAATAACACCTTTCTTCTTCATCTTCCCGCACCTCTCGTTTCTCTCTGCTTCCTTCGTTCTCCATCAATGTAGTCTCTTATTCCAACATGGTATCAGAGCGGTGAGACAGCCACGCCGCCGCTGTCACCGTCGCCGGAAAATTGAGTCAAAGCACGGCTCATCCGGTGATGTCGATTGTTAAATCCCCAATTCCGCAGAGGAAGCCAAACAATCCGATTGCTACGCAGAGTAGTCGATCAATTCCGCAGAGGAATCTAGAAGACAAGGAGAATCCGATTGCTAGAACCTCCCCAGCCGCAGAGGAAGGAGTTCGTAGCTCACACCGGTTGAAGCAGATGGAGCAGTTCTCCGATTCAGCCATAACCGTAGCCGATCCGCAGCGGAAGGCGATCCAGGAAGCTTATCCGTCGTTTCCGGTCCAATCCTCCGATTCAGCCACAGCAGTTGTGTCTTTCCATCCGAAATTTCGGAGAGAAACGGAGAGGAGTATCGCCGGAATTGGAGCAGAGGATACGGCATTGAGGAAGCTTACGAAGGTTCCAGTGGAGTATCGCTATACTTGGCGAGAAGTATCGCTATATTTTGATTATCATGAAGTGGCTGCGAAGAAGGGGGTCTCGTTTGCAGTGGAGAGTCTCAAATCTGGTAATCCTTCTAATCTAGCATCTACGTCTTTTGGTAAGGCTATTAAGGGGATTAGACATGCTGATTGTGTTGAGATTAGTGAACAATTGTTAGATACACCAACTGTTTGTAAAAATGCATCAGTGAGCCTGAATCCCAGGAATGCTGGGTTGGACACTAAAAATGGTGCGGTGATCGTGGATGACGAGCCTATTAAGTATTTCGCTATTGCGAAGGCTGCAGGTAGCGTTGATATGTCTTTAGGTATCAAGCTGGGTGTTCAGTACAGTCTTTGGGGAGGCTCTGTTCTCAATTTGGGGACTAAGAAACACAAAGACAAGTACTTTGAAGGCATAAACAACCTGGAATACACCGGTTGCTTTGCAATGACTGAGCTTCATCATGGTTCCAATGTTCAAGGCCTTCAAACTGTTGCCACCTTTGATCCACTTAAGGGTGAATTTATTATAGACACACCTAATGATGGGGCCATTAAATGGTGGATTGGTAATGCTGCTGTCCATGGTAAATTTGCAACAGTTTTTGCAAGATTGTTGCTACCATCTCATGATTCAAAAGGTGTTTCCGACATGGGTGTTCATGCTTTCATTGTTCCAATAAGGGATCTAAAGACATACAAAACTCTACCAGGAGTAGAAATACATGACTGTGGTCACAAAATTGGGTTGAATGGAGCAGACATCAGCAAGGTTGTTGTTAAGGAGCTGACTAGTTGGGTGATTTACTCTGATGAGGAGCAGAAGTTCAACAAAGACATAACTGTTCGTCTTATACAGAGTGAACTACTGAGCTTTGCAGAATATAACAATCATATGGCGGAACTTATTAATGCTGAAAGAAATAAGTCTACAACTGTGTTTTCGATTTCTCTTATACAAACATTGCTGAAGATTGATTCAAAAGCTCTATTGGAGCTGCAAGATCTTGTGGATGCATTGGGAAAGCTTGCTGCAAGACCTGGTTCTCACGAGTCATTGAAACAACTAGTTGAGATAGCCAAGAATACTTCTGCTAATGTTATGGCTTCGTCTGGTGCTTCTGGCTGGAAGGAGGATAATTTCAAACAATCTAAAGAAAAAAAAAAGGCTGCTATGCTCCCTCCAAGCGGTGGAGATAAGAGCTCATTTGAATGTGTTGAGCCAGGCCCTGCTGGATTCCATGAACAGGTCTCCAAGCGGTGGAGGCTATGCTATCCTGTTGTTACATATTTGCCCAAGTCAAAAGCAGATAAGAAGGAGAGTTTGTTAGGAAACACTAAAGATTCTATAGATGAATCAGATGTGGCCAAGGTAGTGGAAGAAGATATGGCTGATTTTAAAGAGGATGTCCAAGTTGAATGGGTTTCATATTGGAAGCTAAAGTTTACAGTCAGTTTGGTTGATGATTTCACAAGATTCACTCAAAATGCAGTCCCACCAAATATTGTTTTTTTTTTTTCTCTTTTGTATCTAAGCTGGGCATGTAGGATCTACACGCTCCAGCTTACCGGGGGGTGTTGGAGGATAAAAATGTAATATCCTCCCCTTCCATTTTATTTCTTTTATCTTTTATTTTTCCCTTATATAAACCAGTAGCTCATCATCAATAATAACACCTTTCTTCTTCATCTTCCCGCACCTCTCGTTTCTCTCTGCTTCCTTCGTTCTCCATCAATGTAGTCTCTTATTCCAACAATATTAGAATGATAAATTTGAAGAAAAATATATTATGAATATTATTTCATTAAGTATAATGAAGTAAAGTTATGAATTCATTGTCCAAAACCGATTCAATGATGTAAAAGGACCAATCCAAATGTAGAGGATGCTAGGTTAACCATCCAAATGTCTGAGCGTTCTACTGTGACGGTGAATACCTGTGCCCGTATCTTGTAGAAAGTCTGTGTGCAACCAGTCGAAAGCACCCGATTATACCGGCAATTTACTTTTAAGGTAGTGTATTCACACGACACAGGCGTCCCCTCCATCTGGCAGGCCTCACACGTGCCAATTCCAAAAAGCTATTCTCCCCGTGGAGAAGGCGACCACTGGGTCACCTTCTCCGGCGAAAAGCGACCCAGATTTGGGTCGCCTTCTCGTTGAAAAAGGCAACTCGGATGTGGTGTCTTCTCCGATTGAGCTATCAGCTAATTTTACTAAATATCTTTCAACAATCAGCTAATGCTATTAACTAGTTAAAATCATTAACTTAATTGACTAAAAACTATTTATCAAATATCCCTATATAGTCTAGATCCGAAGTCCACAAAATTACCCCATGTTGGAGATCCATAGACAGCTGAGGCAGACTTTTTTTTTTGAAAACCAGCTGAGAACAGACTTAATTGCAATCCAAAATCCACAATATATATTAGTTTAAATACGCGGATTGCGGTATTACTTTTCTATACTAGTAACTTTGCTTTCTTATGGACGAAGAAAGACAACTTCAACCTTGCTTTCTTAGGATCATAAAATGCAATGTTTTGAGAAAATTCAAAGGCAACGTTAAAAGTGAATCGAGCGAGAATATTAGAATGATAAATTTGGAGAAAAGTATATTATGAGTAGTATTTCATTAAGTATAATGAAGTAAAGTTATACATATATTATTTTTTTATTAGGTATAATTTTCAAATAGTGTTATGTGCTGGATTTGATGATTAGCATAAATATAATAAAATAAAATTAAGCCAATCATGACTCGGTACAGTCTTGAAACATTTTGAAAAAAAATTTAAACAATTACTTATTTCTTACATACTTGAGATTTTTAATAAAAACACTTCTTTGTTTGCTTCTTTTTTTTTTTTCTTTTTTTTTTTTCTTTTTTTTTTTTTTTATAAATATTTATGAAAAAGATTGCCGTAGTTATGGGACAATGCATTTTGGGTAAAGTTCACCCTATGACCCTAGTCAGTTAAGGACCGCACACTACTGGGAATTATGAAATTTCCGACCACCTGAAAATGATCTTAAATCAAGTCAAAAGCCTTGTTCCGGCCACTTTTGGTATCCGGAAAAATCTTTGTTGCTATTTCCGACCACTTTTTGCTTTCAACTTGATTTAAGATCACTTTCAGGTGGTTGAAAATTTCATAATTTTCAGTAGTGGCAATGAGGTAAACTAGCTTAGATTACTCATAGCATGTGGTCCAACTAATAAGAAGGTGAACAAACAAATTTGGTACTTTATGTTACTAAGCTAATTTATCTAATCAACTTGACTGAGATTGTTTTGCATGGGTTTAACTCAATAGTTTAGTAGACAGTATTTGAGAGAAGAGACCAAAGTTCAAACATTGACGGTAACATGTTAGGATTAGGCCTAAAGTGTGCAAATCTCTTGTACTAGTCATTCAGCCACAGTGAATTATATCCTCCCATATGTTCTGTTCACCTTGTTGGAAGAATAACTTGGTTGAAATTGTTCCATACTTTCCCATTGATTGAGGAAGGAGACTTTTTCGCAATTCTACTCCTAATAATTAGCAAACCCAAGTCGTACTCTACTAGAAAGTATAAACCGCAATGACGCTGTCGAAGTTTGACATAGTTTAATACTTTAATATCATATCCTTAGTATATTTTTCTTAACCGCGTAGAGTGCTGACAATGTTGTCTTTGCTGTTTTTTTTGAAAGTGTCAATTATGTTTAATTATGTTATAAGAAAAGTATACTCCTTTCTTCCACTATATAACGCCTGCACATATCTGCCCATCCATCTTATCACCATCCATTTCAGCAATATTACGCAATAAGAAATCATCAGCAAATTAAACCAACAAAAATGTCATCTTTTTCTTCTTCCCTTTTAGCCATGGCAGTCGCCATTTTCATCTTCTTCTCTCAATCAAATGCTCAGCTAAGTTCCACTTTTTACTCCTCCACATGCCCTAACGTTTCTTCAATCGTTAGCACTGTGATTCAACAGGCCTTGCAGAACGATGCCCGCATTGGCGCCAGCCTCATTCGCCTCCATTTTCATGACTGCTTCGTTAATGTAAAGTCCTAAAATAAATAAATGTATATGTAGCATTATATTGTTCTTGAATGTAATTCGGAATTATTAATGATGTTTTTTTGGTCAGGGGTGTGATGGTTCACTTTTGTTAGACAACAATGGAACAACGATTGTGAGTGAGAAAGATGCTGCCCCAAACAATAACTCCGCTAGGGGTTTTGATGTTGTTGACAACATTAAGACCGCAGTTGAGAATGCCTGTCCCGGTGTCGTATCTTGTGCTGATATTTTAGCTCTCGCTTCCGAATCTGCAGTTTCTTTGGTATGTTTACATTTTTTTTTTTTTTACCCTTCCTAGCCTTTTACATTTTCTTGAATTTATACTCGTGGAAAACTATATTAATTGTATGTTTATATATGCAGGCTGGTGGTCCTTCATGGAATGTGTTGTTAGGGAGAAGAGACGGCACGACAGCAAACCAGGCAGGAGCTAACACTGGCATTCCTGCTCCCTTTGACAGCTTAAGCAACATTACCACAAAGTTTTCAAACGTTGGATTGAATGTTAATGATGTTGTAGCATTATCTGGTATGTCCAATATATACATGCATACACATAAATATATAGACAACGTACACAAATACCACATATTAATCTTATTCTTTTTAATACTATATTAGTATTCCCATCCTTAAGATAAGACTAATTTGGGGCAACCTAACGAAGTTGGTCAAGCAGTTAGCTTGATAATTATAATGTTTTAAGTTTGACTCAGTTTGGGAGTGGTCCATTAGCTTTTTAGTTTGAACCGATCAGCTATGCACATCTTTGGTTAATTTACGACCTTGTAATCCTTTGTCATTTAAGCAACTGGGTTACAAGGCATGGTTTGATCTGGTTAGCTATGGGAAACCTAAGGTGATTTACCTCAACTCCTTGTAGCCCTTTGCCGGCTAGGGTTACAAGGTAGGCAGTGCACACCCTGAATAGCTAGATCTGGACGTTGGTACGAGCCCTGTACATTCGTAGCGTGCTCTGTCAACTCTTTCTCTTAATTTGTCCCTTTTGTTTTACGGTTGTGTTTACGCACCATCCAGGCTACCCCATGGCCGTAAAGCAAGAAATCCCTTCTTGGAGACTTGCGTTGTCTCTGTTTGTCTCGCTGACTTACATACCCACCACTGCACCACAGTTGTGGGTAGTGATTACGAGCTCCCATAGTGACTCAAAAAAAAAAAAAAAAAAAAAAAGACTAATATAATCAAATTTTGACACATATTAACTTTATTTTATTTCAGGTGCTCATACCTTTGGACGTGCACAATGTCGTACATTTAACAACCGGTTATTCAACTTCAGCAACACGGGCAATCCTGATCCCACCTTAAACACAACCTACTTAGCCACTTTACAACAAGTTTGTCCACAGGGCGGGTCTGGATCTACCGTGACCAACCTCGACCCGACAACCCCAGACACCTTCGACAACAATTATTTCTCAAATTTGCAGAACAACCGTGGGCTTCTGCAATCAGATCAGGAGTTGTTCTCAACATCTGGGGCTGCAACCATTGCCATTGTCAACAACTTCAGTGCAAACCAAACTGCCTTCTTTCAGAGCTTTGTCCAATCCATGATCAATATGGGAAATATTAGCCCCTTAACTGGGTCCAGTGGAGAGATTAGGTTAAACTGCAGGAGACCTAATTGAGCAAAATTTTGTCACTCCTACTACTATTTACCTGTTTTTCATTTGTCTTTTCACAGATTATTTGTCCCTTTAATTTTGGTGTGTTTTAAGGCTACCTTTGTTGCTCTGTGAGTGAAAGAAATCTCACAGGAATTGTATAATCGTTTGCAATTTTTCTTTCATGTACTACAACATACAACTGTACAAGTCAGCTGTGGTGTATTTTTTATTTTCATTATCTGATATTTTAATGAAAAATGTAATTGTTTCAAACTATGTGAAATTGCATGTTATCAAAAGTTACAAAGCATGGATACCCTTAGCTTTGTAAAATTGTGATGATTTTAAACCCTAGCGATACTAAAATGTTAGTAAAAATATTTGAACTTTAAAACATTCTTTCTTTTTTTTTTTTATTCGATAGTGAGCTAAATTAAATTTCCACGATCTTATAAGTTTAAGAATATCCTCATCAATTAGAGGATTCTGTCAAATTCTTTTCATACAATATTTGATAATTACAACACCATAAGATCAGACTAATTTAAATTTAATTCGAGACACATTTATAAAATTTCATTCTTTTCGCCCAAATAAAAAAGAAACTTTGTAACACGAAGCATAATGGATTGCCTCACAGGAGTGACAGGCTCACAGGTGATCAAAGGAGCTAAGTCACAGACTTCTAGATAGTTTGGTTCAAACTTCAAATAGTAGTTTGACCTAATCATCACTACTATAATATAATATAATATAATCGTTTTAACAGTTGCTGGAACCTTCCAATTCCTAAATTAGGTAGCAAGAAATCTAGATCTAAAACTAAGTCGTATTGCCAATTAAAGAATATAAACGAGTCTTTTAAAATAATACTTCGTATTAATTATATGCAAAGGTGTGGTGCATCTAATTAAATCCGGAATTGATCTAACCTAGCTTGCAATTGTTTTTGGTCAGCCAGATTTTCGAATTACTGAACCAATCGAGCTACCCTTTAACGCTATCAATAATAGTTTAATGAAAAGAAACAACGCTCGTTTCGCGTCGTTCCGCCAAAATTAATTATGTTATTCAGTTTCATTTTGTATATACTTCAGTTTCAGTTCAACACAACTACAGCCTCATTTCGATATAACTACAGTTTCATTTGACGTTCATACACTCAAATATGTGAAAATGTTATTTAATTTTATTTTATATACACTATAGTTTCATTAAAACACAACTACATGATCATTTCGATATAACTACAACTTCATTGCACAATATACACTCAAATATGTGAAATGTTATTCAGTTTCATCATATATACACTGCAGTTCCATTTCACCACAACTACAGTATCATTTTGATATAACTGCAGTTTCATTTGATAACATATAAAATAATACGTGAGGTAGCTAGTGTCGGTTTAGATACATGTAGTGTCAGTTTAGGTACACTGTAATTTCAGTTGGTAATTAACACATCAAAAAATGCACGTTCCGTTACTGTTAACGGTGCTGTTTCTTTGCTTAAAGAAATGGCGCCGTTTTGAATGCACCGCGGTCCACGATATAACGAACGGTTTCTGTTTACTTGGGCCTGCCCACAAGTTGTAACTTACACAAAATCTGCTGGAGCATGCTTACTATGGACTTTTTGTATTTCAGATCGAGACCAATTGTCCAAAACAAATTCATTGAATTCAATGATGTATAAGGCCAACCCAAATGTAAAGGATGCTAGGGTTAACAAATTCCTATGTGAATTGGTTGGCTAGCTAGTTATGTTCATAACTTTTGATTTAGATTGGATTTCCTGGGTTGTTTTAATTTGTCCAGTTTTTAATTTTTTAGAAAATTTACACCCGATACTTGAAGGTACGTTACACTATGGATGAAGCTAGATTGCCTTGTGATCTTAACTGTCAATTGATCACTATAATAAGATAAGATAATATAATCTATATTATTCATAATTGATGACTGGCTCAAACTAAGAAGCTAAGGCTGACCAATAAACAACTCCAATCCTTCAATGATATGGCTGGGAATTTGACTTCATGTGTATGTAGTAACGCCTGAGTGCTACTGCTACCTTTGAATGAGGCTCGATTAAACTCATTGGATTAGTGTCATCTCGTCCTAAGAAGAGTTGAATTGCCTCTGATTCTCCGAATATGGCTCGACCAAGACTCAATTGGATTAATCCCATCTCATTTTAGAGCCAATTGCTTTCGAATTTGACTCGACTATAAGACTTAATTGGATTAGTCTGATATCATAAAACATGGACATTAGTATAGTACACCAATAAAGAAGATTGAAAGAAAGATAGATGGAGACAATTCCAATTGATTAATAGGTAATAACTGCCATTACTTTCAACAACTCCCACCAAATTAAACCTACAAATCCTTGGCACCAATTTGAAATTATTTATTATGATGGATAGATGTATCCATCTCTCCCTCCACCACTTGCTTGTGCACCCCACGCTGATTACTAATCCAGATACTAACAAAAGTTGATTTACTCATTTGTGTGTGTTTCTTGAATTTGATATTTTATAATGAATTTTATATTATTTGATGTGATTATATATGACTAATTCAAAATAAAATTGTTCATCAATTGACAAGTAATTGATAAATATAAACGATTGTGACATTTTGAGATGTATCACAAGTTATATCATTTGGTACAAAAAAACTAGTCTTCAGATCATTTTTATTTTTATTAATCTCTGATGGATATATTTATATAAGTTATTTTTTTTATCAAGTAATAATAACAACCCGAAAAAAAAAAAAAAAAAAAAAAAAAAAAAAAAGTGAAAGTCTCACTCTTGTTTCAAATGATTCTTTTTTTTTTTTATTTTTTATTTTTTTTATAACAATACTTTACCATATACTACAACTCTATATTGTATTGTAAATATTGACTACGATACTACATAATCATCAAATTACATAAATAAAACTTAGAAATAACACAATACTGGCCGGGTAAAAGCTTCGAGAATTAACTTACCGAAATGATGTAGTGCTGACTATTCAACTTAACTTAACACAATAATAAACTCTTGATCTTGACAATTAGTATTAGAAGAGCTTATGGTTTATTGCGGTATCAGAGCATGTCATGGCTTCAAATGAGGTGGCAGGCAGGTGCCACTTTTTGGCGCTTCTAACTAAGAGTTGGTTAGGTTAAAATTATTTTTATATATTTTAAAAAGTATAAATTGATAAAAATGCCCCTCTGATATATTTCTTATTTTATAAATCAACACTGATTGAAAGTGATCTGAGGTCCACTTAATTACTATACCCCATGCTGTTTGAGATCTAATGACAGCTGAGATTGACTTGCTATCCAAAATCCACGATATACATGCATGCAATAATGCATTAGTTACAATAACACGCTAATTGCGGTCTTATTACTTTGTTCTTATATGGAATAAGAAAGACAACTCCAACCATAGTAATGATTATTCGGAGCTTTCTACGTATTGTTCTTAGAGAACTCAATGACAATGTTAAACTGAATCTAGAATGTTAGAATAAATTGAGGGAATCCCGATCAAGTTGGTTTGGTAACAACAAGATTTTAAATTTGAATCTTAATAATGAGAATTGTCTATTGACTTTTTTAGTTTGAAGTTTGAACCGATCAATTACGGACAACTTAAGTTGGTTTACTTTCTTGTGATCATTTGTTAGATGGTTAGAGTCCTCAGGCAAGTTTCACCTAGAATGCATATTCTGTGGTGATTTATTCAATTCGTACATCAAAAAGAATGTCAGAATAGTAAGAGCATCCGCATCAGTTGGGGAGAATTGATGGATAATGTAATAGTGATTAGGAAAGAGAAAGTGAGAGGGGAGAGAAAAAAAATGAGAGAAAACTAAAATTGAAAAAAAAAAAAAAAAAAAAAAAAAAAAAAAAAAAAAAAAAAAAAAACTGAAGCGTTAGGCACGCTGTCTCTATCCAAGTTTATTCATCTGACATTAACTCCTTATTAATCTTTGGTGTGGATGCTCTAAGAGAAAGTAAGTATAAAGATTTGTCATGTTTAACGACAATTCATCATTGGAGATCAAGAAGAAAAAAGCAATTTTGCTTTCAATTTGTGGAAATTTTAAGCCTCGTGATGAAGAGACTAATTAATGAATACCTCTTCTTCAACTATTATATATTGAGCTACTATAATACAATTTGGGGTCATTCAAAAATGTTTTTAGTATGAATTCTTTAATATATACATTAGAAAAATCATTAGATTTATTTTTTCTATAAGGTGTTGGAAAAAGTTGGCAAAAAGTAGCAAGTGGGTGCACATTTTTAGATAATGCATGTTTAGAATTGTATTCTGCTTATATTTGGAGCAAGTCAAAGTAAATGAATAATATATAAATGAGAAATTGATTCTAAAATATACACTGATAAAATTAAGGAAAATGATACTTAAGCTTTAAAGTTTGAAGGAGCTTTTGTCTACATTGAAAGTAAATATAAATTTGCAATAAAATGAAATTATAAATATATATCAATTTTTTTAAAGATGTTTGATTTGATAAGAGGCATTAAAAAAAACAAACAAACAAACAAACAAAAAAGGTAACCAAAACAAAACATAAACTCTTCTAAAATTTTCTCCATGACAACATATACCTTGCTAGCCTACCCAGGATCAAAGGAATCCTTGTTTGTTTCCACTTTCCATTGATTAAGGAGAATCTTGAAGACTAATTATGGGAGAATGTTCCACAATTATTCTTATTATACTCCCAATATATAATTAGCAAGTTAATACTCTAAATGATCATTAATTATAGTTATTTTTCTCAATTTCGTCATAAATAACCTTATATATAAAATTTGATTTGCAGGTAAATGAGTAAAGAGATGTCTATATGGACATTACTGAATTGTCTCTCTATTTAACATCAAATGGACGAAATAATAAACAGATGATTAAATTGAGCAAAATAACAAAAATTTTTGGACTATAATAGGTCACTAAAATCGTTTACGACGAAATTGAAAAAATGATTATAGTTGAGGACCATTTTAAGTATTAGCTCTATAATTAGCAATCCAAGTCATAATAATACTACAAACCGCAACGACGCCGTCGAAGTTTGACATAGCAACTATTTATGTTTACTATCATATCCTTAATACCACCGCGTAGAGTGTGTTCGTTCACAACGTTGTCGTTTGAAAGTGTCAATAATTATGTTCAATTATTTTAGAAGGAAGAAAAGTACACTCCTTTCTTCCACT